ATCTTGGTCCTATCTTAACTGCTCTGATTTCTTTTAGCAAAGTGTTAGGCGAGGGAAGGCTATATTTAGACATTAAATATTTTTTATAAACTCTGGGACCAGCAAAATATATTGATAGGCATTCAATTTTAAATTCTTTGCTGTAACGTCTTCCCTTTGGATGTTTATGCCCCTGTGATACTTGCATATTAACACATTTTGCAATGTCTGGATTGCAAAATTTATATGTTAGGGACATATATTGCTCCAAAGATATATTGTCCAATTCATTATTTTTTTCAAGTACCTCAACCCTTTGTCGTAAATATTTGTTTTCGGCAGTTATGGACTTGATATGCTGCCTGTATTTAACTTTTCTTGGTGTATCGAAGGATAAACTGGCTGACGTTTGGGTAAATATTGGAGACGTCAGAGGAGGACTGTCTGTAATTGGATTTATTTGCTTTAAAATGATTTTTTTTTATTTAGGGCGGATCAAAAGCTATAACAAAATTTTACAGCTAAAGATAATCATGTGAATATTAGCTTGTTTTAAAAAGTTAAAAAATAAAAAAGTTGTAGTCTTTTAAAAGTGGAACAAATTAGGTTCACCCCTCGCTTCACCCTGTATATAAAACATTATATTTAATTTTAAGTAAAACACTATTATTTTTAGTACCTGAATCAAATAGTGCAGGTGTGATAGGTGGAGCTATCAGTCTGTCATCTAGAACTCGTATTTTCGCAGGAAGTTGCAAGAGCGGTGCACTATACGTATGGTCTTCAGTTGTGGAACTCCCCTCGAGGGACGGGAATAGGGTAGGAATTGCAATGGCTACTAATCTTGTACGAAAGTGACTCGTGAACATCTTCTCTTCAAAGTGGTCTTCACATATCGAGTAACTTTTATATAATTCGATTAGTTTTTCAAATAAGTCCTCTCGATTGGCTTTCATTGCCCATGTTCTGGCTCTGTAAATATTTAAATATATTTTTAAACAATGCTATATAGGTATTGTAAACGCCAAATCTGAAGAACCAGCGCAAATGCTCAAGTTCGTTTACTTAAAAATCGCCACGCCCATTCACAATTTGAACCTTGTCCTTGCTTACGGTCAGTAGCGTAACGACTAGAACATTGTTTGTTTCTTGTTTCTGTGTTTTGGTTAAAGTGACTGGTTTTATTTTTAATAATGTCTTCTATTGTGGGTGAAAAAAAGCGCAGATTTGTTATTGACGGACAAAGTCGTGAAGTAATATACAATGTTTTTAAATATTTTGACGCAACAAAAAAGGAAGGAGTTACTTTAGATGATATCAAACTTCAAACTGCACAAGCAACAGGTAAACATACCCTGTAGTTTATTTGGAATTAAACTTGTGTAGTTTTCCATATTTTGTTGTATTTTACACACATATCTGTGCATTTTAATATTTTATATTTAAATTTTTTAAATTTATCTTCTGTTTCTAAAAAAATTTGTTTCCTAATAAATGTAAAAAAAATACTAAATTTAACATTAATATAATATTACGGTCTTTACTTGATGCAAATCCATATTATTAAAATGAGAAAAACCAAACATGGTAGATTTTCACATTTTTATTTAAAGAAATAAAAATTAAAAATTGCACGACAATTGTTTCTAAGTACAACTTCTTCTTCAAATGTAACTCATTTACATTTCTAATATATATCCAAAATAAACTAATTAGTTAAAGTAGGTACTTAAGAGAAATATATTAATAAATGCCATTAAAATATCATTACCGGGATTATCTCACAGAAAACTAAGAACAGGTAAAGAGATTTAATTAGGCTACTTATTAATATCTAATTGGTCACTTAAGAGGATATTTAAATTTTTAAATCAATTTATTTCAAGTGTTTCTAAATGGTAATTTAATGCCTTTATTCTCAAATTGTGAAACAATTTTTGCATAAACGATTGATTTTCAGAAAAAAATATGTTTTGTAGAATTATTTTTGTTTTTAGTATAACTATTGTAATGTTTTAAATAGCTTTTTTTTAAACTACGGCCCGTTTGACCAATATACAATTTTTCCACAATTTAATTTATTTGAAAAAGGATAATTTCCTGACCGTAACAGAATTTTATATAAATACCGAACGGAAAGCGGTAGAACAGCCTTAACCTAAAGTCGGTTTACCTAAAAATAATGATTTTTTTAATTGACTATAGAATTATGTACTAATAATAACACTAAGCAATATGTATGAACAAGTATCATTTACTACTTTCCATTTATTTTATGTCTTAAAATATACGGACCTCTGGTTTACAACTTTCTAGGTAAGCTATCAATTATATTTATCCGTAGGCGTGTTAGTAGCATTATAAATGCGCATCCTTGGTTCTTTAGATCTGGCGCATACTGTATCTATTTGCTTCCAATTAATATTTGTTGATATACATATTTTATTATTTCGATTTGCAAAAATATTAAACAAAACCACCAATAAACCCTCTTTTACCTTAACAAGTATTAAATTAATAACTACTTAGGTATATATTTATACAGGCCAAACATAGCTTCTCATAATTAAAGAAGATTTTGTATGACTTTAAATTACTTTTACTATAACATAGCAAATAATCGAAAGTTTACTTTTCATCAAAATATGCAAAAAATATCGTGTAGGTAAGTACTTACCGGTTAGCATCCTTAGGAAAACAATAGAATTTCTTCTTACAATTATAACCTTTATTAAAACAATTTCGCACTGCACAAATATAATGATATCCTGATAGTTTTTTGTCACTCATTTTACTACAGTAAAAAATAAACATAAAACACAAATGTTCAAAAGAATTACAAATTAAACACAAAAATATACGCACGGCTATGTCCGCTTAACGTAGAATAAGTAATACTGATCTCCCGACTGCACGGCAAAGACATCTTTTCCCCGAAAAGGCGGAGCATAAAACCTGCGCGAAGGGATCGACGCAAACCGTTCCCGCCAAGAGAGTGTTCTAGCTGGATATGAATAAGCTGTGATAATATCATGAACTACTTTCTTAGCTCTAAGTATCCAAAACCTTTCCCTAATAATATTTTTGGACCTGCATGACAATGCGATATATGTTCCTCCAGAATAAGTTTCCTAACGATGTCATGTTTATTCGGCAAAATTGTAGGATATTTAAATTCTTTTGGAAAATCACCTTACACTAATCTTGTTTTTAATTTTAAAATTCCTTTTTGTTCCTAAAAAATCTGAAACATTTTAAATCTATTCAGCTCATTTGTGATACTCTCCTCTTGTATCATCCTAAATAAGCAATTTTTTGCCCTTTCCAAATCTTCAGAAGTCATTCCTTTCTTCTGTTTTGATTTATCTTATTTTTCCTGTTAAAATAAAATCTCAATATCCAAGCTACCATTCTCTTTATCTTTGACTATTTTGAAAAATAATCTAGATTCTGTGAGAATTGCATTTTATTTTCTACCACATTTGTATTTACTACTTTGCTTTCCTTCTTTACTCCTTCATTTATTTAATCGAAAATAATTTTTCCGTTAGGCCTAAGTTCTCTTTTATCTTCAAAACATTCGCTTATTTTTGAACCCATGAAAGTTTTAACTTCCAAGTTTCCTGTAATAAAAGCTGCTGTAAAACCAATGGGATAAAAAATTTTTTGAGCTGCGGATAGTAATCCTCGTTTGGTTCTTGGTATTTCTTGGAATTTACCTAAATTTTTGAAATTAGATATTCATCGTTGGCTGGGCTAAATATCACGCTAATTTTTAAATAATCGTTTGGATGTATTTAGGTTTTATGTTTTATTTATTACATGAGCAGTAAATGTAAAATAGTTTATGGTTAAGCTACGGTACGTCACGCGCGAAAGAAAATTTAAAGCTTCGCCAATCAGGTCCTACCTTTAATTTCCTTGGCTTCCTGATGCAGACTTCTTTTCTTGGCGCGTCCACCCTAAGCTGCTGGGGTCGTGGACTGTATTTTAGGGCTGGCATTTGAATATTCGGGAAACCAAATTTGCGGGTTTGTATCGAATGATCACAAAGCCTGAACACACGTTTGTACTCTACGACATTTGAAGCGATACTGATGTTCGCCCTGTTGAAGTGTTGAACAGGTTGAACTTAAGAATCATTCTCTGCCTCGCGGATGTGATCTTTTACTAATTAGGGCAATACCGTCTTGGCGAAGTAATGAGAATAATATATATGTGAAATATTACGTTTCATACTGGATGATAATTTTCAATTTAAACTTAACTTAACACACTGATTTTAAATGGATGACATAAAAATGGGAATCACCCAGGTAACATAGCAAATATGTATAGGGCCCTAAGGAAGGTTTAGTATAGCTGGTCTAAATTATTCGAAAGTATCTGTCAGTAGTTGCTAGATCAGAACATTTCTTAAATTGGCGTCACTGGTAACTATCTGAAGTGGATCAACTCTTACTTAACAAAACGCTCTCAGCGTGTTTTGGTTTATAATTTAGTATCGTGTGATATATCAGTGACGTCTGGTGTTCCTCAAGGTTTTTGGCCCCGTTCTATTTATATATACCTAATTGTCGTAGGTTAATCCACTTTACAGATACAATAAATATAACTACTCAATGGAGCGATCTTGTGCGATATTCTTTTGTTAAAGGTTACCTTTCTGATTCCCACTCGGCGAGCACGACACACTACTTCTTTATTCTACATTAAACAACATCGAACCAACTATGACTGTATTTGCCTAAAGCACAATAACTTATACCCAGAGTGCGACATTTCAATCTAAGCTTGCCAGTCCTTAGATGAAATCCCAAATTCGGCTGCGAGTGACTTTGTGTTTCATTTTTTTGTATTTTTAAGTTATTTCTTTTTAAATTCGTATTTGTAATTTTACTTTAGTTTAAGATTTGTACACTGTATAGGGAATGAACTTCCCATAACCTATGTTCCAAATCAAATAAAAAATAAATATTTGAATACCAATGTAGTATTTAAAAAATGTCATACATTTTTAGAAAACAACTGGATATAATTGAAAAATCGACAGTGAACGTTGAAGAAAATCTTAAAAACGAAATAAAAAACGTTTCGAGTCTATTCGAGGAAAAAGTCAACAATCTCAAAGCCACTTACGAAGAAGAAACTATTTATTACAAAGAAAAATTAAAATATATGGCGGAACAACACTCGAACGAAATAAAACTGCTCAAAGAAATTCAAAATCAAAAGTTGGAAGAACTGAAATCCGAACACGCCATGCAGATCGATTACATAAAAGAAATGAAACAGAAAGAAACGAATTTGCTGAACGAGGGACATGTACTCTCCCAAAAAATTGATGCAGGAATTGAAATGTTAGGACACAACGTCAAAGTTGTTCACGAGATCGAAGAAAAAGTTAATCAGAGATACGATGTTCTAGCGTCAGCCAGGGAACGGAGCATACAATCAAAAGAAAAAGAAGTTATTTGTAAGTATAATTGATTCGGAAAAATCATTGACCAGTTGAACATATATGAACGATGAATAATAAAATAGTTGTATAAATCCCTCCACAAATGATTTAGTATTTGATGCAGAGTTTTTTAAATTCCCTCTGGATCAAGTAAATAAAATAGGTTCACAATGACCACTTTTCTCAAATCAAATCAAAAATTCGTTTGTTGTAAAAAGCGACTAAAAGGCCAGATATACCTCTCGGAGCCATTATCAACCAGTAAGCTTTTTGGCTAGTTTTTAGCCAGTCTCTCACCGGAGAAAGCACAATGGGGCTTAGTGAGGCTTATATGCTGTAGGAGTCAACTCACCTCTCCCCACCTAACAGATAGTCAACTATTTGGTTCTTCATCGTGCAGATCTGTTATATGTTCAACTGGATTGTATAGTATAAGAAAAAAATCAAACAATTTTATTAATTAGGACAATTTTAGTGATGAAAAACGCTTTGGAAAAGTCCAGAGAACTAGCTGAAAACGAGAGAGCTCAGTTGCTTTCGTTGGTTAGAAATTTGGAATTAAAATTAGCCGAACAAAATGTGAACGCGCAAGAAGACAGATGGGCGCTACAACAGGCTTCAGCTACTCTAATGGCAAGATCGAAGGCCATAGAAAGAGAAGCCGAATATAGCAGGAATATCGTTGATAGAGAAAGGGAACAATTAAAGGTACTTACATTTTAATAGCCTCTATCATTAATTTTAAAATGATAGCTTATCGATATATATTTATTATTATTATGTTTAGACTCTAAAGGAATCCCTGCTAGCCGAACAAGAAAAAATGATATTGCAACTGACAGAAGAGAAACTCCTTTTAGCATCAGAAAAAGCCAAATTCGAAACATCAACCAAATTAACCAACAATTACGAAGTGGAGCGTGCCAAAGCTGAAGCTGAAACTGCCATCGAAGAGGCTAAACACCTCTCCGATAGACTGAACCAAGAAAGATCGCTATTGCAACGCCAAAAAAGCGAAATACAAGCTTTAAAGCACAATATGGCCGACCGCGAAAGAGAATTGGAAGACAAAGAAGTCGAATTGGAGTTTCTGATGCAGGATGCGCAGAAGAAACTAAAGGAAGACAAGCACGTTTTGGCCGAAGCGAAGCGGATGGAGACCTTGTACAAGGAGAGAATGAAAGAACTGCAAGGCCAATGGGCACTGCTGTCGGGCAGAGAAAAGAAGTTGGCCGAAGAGAAGATGTTGCTGTCGAAAGAGAGATTGGCGCTGTATACGTCGATGAAGGCATCTAAAGATTGCGTTTTGTGCAGCGCCGGTGGGGATTCGCAGTTTGGAAAAGTTCCTCTAATAAATTCCTATGAAAATAATTTCAATTCGAAAGTAAGTGTATATTGAATGTAAATAAGTGCTTCGTTTGCTTTTAAGGCTAGGAAAGAGAGGGGATGCGTAAATTTGAAATCCAATATGGGACCACTTACCACAAAATGTTAGACTTAAATAATCCTATATCTTTCTGCTTTAAGCGAAACTACAAATTAATTAAATTAAAAAATGTCTTTATTTTAATAACCCAAACATGATTTCTTTCTGAATACTTCAAAGGAAATCTAAAACAGACAATTAGTAATGGAAGTATGTAAATAAATTATGTAAAAATTACTATAACCCATTTTATAATAACAATAATTATGTTCATGCCTTCTCAATTAAGTAACCCCCTTTTCCGTGGCCACGTATTTTAAAGTTTAAATACTCCTAAAAGTATTTAGGAAGTTCCAAAACAACGACTGGTCCGTACCAGACCTTCTTACTTCTGCACCCGTTTCGCCCTTCTCAGCTCTACACTTTTATGCCATTCTTTCTTTTCGTGCGTAAGGGTCTTACGTAAATTACATATTTGTATTCATTATTAATTATTAAAAATACATAAAGGTTAAATCGAAGGAAAACATTTTTTACAACGAAGGAATCCACGTCCTCCAAGGATAACAAACTCAAACTTAAAAGTTATTATGTATTTGGATTGGCTCAATTAAACACTGGACATAACATTCGTATTGCTTTTATTTGTCACTGGGCTATTAAAACATTTACCACTTAATTATACATTTCACGCTCGATTTATTCATAATCCATACTCACAGGCCTGTCACTCCCTATACTTCCCATGTTAAATTCTGACTCAAATCTCAATGATCTCGGTACATAGATATATCCTCGGTAGGATACCTCTTCCCTATTGGTCTGGGGTCACCAATTGGTTGCTTTCATATGAGAAAAATCACATCTAAAAGTTATAAATATTAAGGTTTTAAGCCACTTTAAGACAAAATTACTTTTTTTTGGTTTTTTTGATTTTTGGGTTTTCGGTTTTTATTTGTTTGTTCTTTTGGTTTTTCGGTTTTTTGGTTTTTTGGTTTTTTGGTTTTTTGGTTTTATGGTTTTTTGGTTTTTTGGTTTTTTGGTTTTTTGGTTTTTTGGTTTTTTGGTTTTTTGGTTTTTTGGTTTTTTGGTTTTTTGGTTTTTTGGTTTTTTGGTTTTTTGGTTTTTTGGTTTTTTGGTTTTTTGGTTTTTTGGTTTTTTGGTTTTTTGGTTTTTTGGTTTTTTGGTTTTTAGGTTTTTTGGTTTTTGGTTTTTTGGTTTTTTGGTTTTTTGGTTTTTTGGTTTTTTGGTTTTTTGGTTTTTTGGTTTTTTGGTTTTTTGGTTTTTTGGTTTTTTGGTTTTTTGGTTTTTTGGTTTTTTGGTTTTTTGGTTTTTTGGTTTTTTGGTTTTTTGGTTTTTTGGTTTTTGGGTTTTTTGGTTTTTTGGTTTTTTGGTTTTTTGGTTTTTTGGTTTTTTGGTTTTTTGGTTTTTTGGTTTTTTGGTTTTTTGGTTTTTTGGTTTTTTTGGTTTTTTGGTTTTTTGGTTTTTTGGTTTTTTGGTTTTTTGGTTTTTTGGTTTTTTGGTTTTTTGGTTTTTTGGTTTTTTGGTTTTTTGGTTTTTTGGTTTTTTGGTTTTTTGGTTTTTTTTGGTTTTTTGGTTTTTTGGTTATTTGGTTTTTTGGTTTTTTGGTTTTTTGGTTTTTTGGTTTTTTGGTTTTTTGGTTTTTTGTATTATGAAAATGCATACTTGTTTCAGGTGTTTGTCTTCTAGTTTCTTTTCCACCTTCCACATTTTCTTCTCCGTGCCTCTCTCTCTCTGTCGAGGTCAAAATAAGCTAACGTTATATCTTCTGCCTTTGCTTCTTTAATTTCTCACATGTATCGTCCACTCTATTTCTTCCTTTCCTCCTTTCAATAACTCATGCAGAGACTCATGTTTGCTGCTAACTGTGGTAAAAATTTAATGTATTAATTTACAAATCCCACAAAAATTATCACTTCTGATGTTGTGGTTGGTCTTGGCACTGAAATAATATCTTCTATCTTAAAATTAGCCTTCTTCAAACGGTCTTCATCTATTTTGTGTATTCAAACTCTTGTTTGAAACACTTGAACTTTTCCTTGGATCCTCCAACTTCCTTAATACCATTGTTACATTTTTTCCATGCTCCCTTTGTAACTTACTAGTGACTACAATATTATCAACATAGTTCCACTGCTGTCATTTTTTTCTAGAGTTTCTTGGTCCGCTTCTTCACATATAGGCGACTTTAAGGTCCGTATTTATAAACAGAACTTACCTGAGTCGGACTTGGGTAAGTCGTCCTTGAACTAAAGTCGAAGTTCGGTTACAACGTCTCTAAAGTTCTAGATGGTTCCAATGAACTGGAGTGGGGTAGAAAGCCAATGTGCATATTGTATCAATAGAACAAGATGTGACTCTATGGGCGCAGCCATTTTTATTTCTCATCTCACTCGGGAGTATTTATAATAATCATTTTCTGTTTCACACTGTTATTGTTCAATCCACACGCTGGTGGATTAGACAATAACAAAGTGAAATAGAATATGTTTGTTATAAATACTCCCGAGTGAGATGAAAAATAACCTGTCTTTGCCCATAGAGTCGCATCATATACCTATTGACAAGCATTCTACCCCACTCCAGTTCATTGGATGGTTCTGGTGTTAGACTGGAATTTAGAGATGAATACTAGCAAATCTGTAACTGTTTTGTACATTTACGGATTTGTTACTAACCATCTCTAAATTCACGCGATATAACCGAACTTCGATTTTCGTTCAAGGACGACTTACCCAAGTCTGACTCAGCTGAGTTTTGTTTATAAATAAGGGCCTTAAGACTACATCTTTTTTCAAACCGCAAATGAATTAATTTTTCAACGCAAATTCTAAGTGCTTCGAATTTGAAATTTACGGCTAAAGAACGAAGTCTAATACCGGTCTGCGAAAAATCCAGCGGTAGTACAACAAAATCCACGCCAGAAAAATTCACGATTTATACCAAATCCCGACATATTCTCACTGATAAACGAACTAAAGAATTTAAGTCTTTAAGAGCGATATCCATGGTTAGAAACTGGCTTAAAACGACTTCAAGGTTCTCTTTCTCAGTTTTAAACATGTTTTTATAAAATTTGGTATATCTACTAAGCAAATGATAGAGAACCCCGCTGTAGAGCCCGAATTCAGAAAAACTTATTTTTTAATTTTTTCTATACAAATTATGAAAATTATTGCAAAAAGGAGTCTTTACCGGGAATTGTTATATAAAAATTAGCTAATTCTTTCCAATGCACTTTTTTGTTTAATGCGTATGTTTTTTGAAAACCTTGAATTACGAAATCTGAGAAAATCTGTCAAGATTCAAATCCATATTAATTGATTTGGCAACAAGGCGGCGGACGTTGGCGGTGCATGCAGTACCGGAAAATTAGGATAAAAGTATTTAGATAGTCATTTAAGTCGCTTAGGATGAAATTATTAAAAAAACTTTACTCTTTTTAGTTCAAGTGACGGTGTTTTCGTTTCGTATTTAGTTAATGCGTTTATATGAACTTTTGTGTGTAAGCTGAGTTATAATAGTTTGTCGTAAAAATCGGAAAACTTTCGGAAATGCCGAAAATGATATTTCCATTTCGACGGAAATCTATAAAATATCGTGCAAGATTACTTAGAAAAAGACACACACTATCACCTCTTATTCCAGTCCAGTTCAGTTCCTGCCCGTCTAAGCATAAACGTCAAAATATATGGGAAATTAATATAGTATGGAACAGAAAAATAACCTGTAGCTTTAAAGCAATATTCACAAATTTAAAGCGGATGTCCAATAAATGTGGTTTATTTGAGGATTCTGAATTTGGTTTTTTGGGTCCCGACGGTTTATTAGGAACCGACAGTATTATCGAAATTAAATATCTTGCTTCAAAACTAACTACGGAAAAATCAATGGTTTGCAACATAATAAAATTTGCAATTAATGATAATGGCAAAATGCAATTGAACCGAAATCATAATTGTTATTATTACCAGGTTTAGGGGCAACTTCACTAAACCAAATATTTGTTTTTTTATTATTTTGATATCTTTCGCTAGAGGTTTGGATTTTAGAAATCCCAGTAGAAAACCGAGTAGAAATCCGAGTAGAAATCCGAGTAGAAATCCGACCAATAATCAATAAAGATGATTTATTTTAATTTCTTCTTTTACTAATAATAAATCATTTTACTCAATGTTATTTTTATATATTTTTAGTACTAGAAAACAATTTTTTCTACACCCAAATGGATATTAGCTTATCTACGTACATACTACAAAACGAAGAAATATGCTATTGCATAAAATGAGTTATACTTGTGTAGAATCGATAAATAATAGCATTTCTATTTTTATTTGATCTATATTTAGAAATAAATAAATATAAATTTTAATATGAAATCCATTTAATTTATATTCACTCTTGTTATACAAACTACTATTTTCTACACCCACATGGATATGATTTTTCCTATACCCACATAGTTATTAGCTAATCTACGCACATACTACAAAACAAAAAGTATTCCATTGCGTTCAACTGAACGAATATATTTCATATCCATTCTACCTAGTACGAACACTGCAAAACAGTTAAATCCACCAATCAGTTTATATTTTGGTCACTCAGTTACTATTATTTTTTCAATTTTATGTAAGTAACAATTCTGTCAAACTAACTGTCAGTATATTTTTGAATTATTGAGATTCAATATACTGTCATGAAATTCCTAATCCGACCCTGTGTCTAAAGCAGGTGCGACCTTCAGCTGGCCCCGATTCATGCTCGAGGCGACGGAATGTTCTGGGAATGCCGCTGAGGCTCGAGAAACGGGTAGAACAGGCAGAGTGTGCCGTTGAGTCAGAGATGGAATTTTCGGGACCGTCTAGAGACTTCTAGTAGCAGAGTTGGACTTAATATAAATAGCCCGACTCATCGTCGGGCAGTTTAGTTTAGTA